ATGCAGTCTGATATGCATCCCAACATTCGTAATTATTGAATCGCATAGTCCTGTTAAGGGCCCTGCGAGAGATCCGTCCAAGGATATTTAGTTTCCCATTAATCCATGGTTTTTCCCTTCGGAAGGGGCTTGATGTTTCAGAGGCACCAATAATGTATTATGTGACTTTTTCTACTGGTAAGTCTATATCCGACACAGAACTTAATGCGTCAGGTACTGAAAGTGAACCTGTGAAGGAACCCAGTTCGGTCACATATGTTTTAAAGTTTGTTTGGGACCTATTCCTGCACATCGGAAGCTCTAGGCCTCCGATATTAACTTTCCGCACTTTTATTACATATAGTTATATCTTAGACGGTACTCTTCAATAGTGCAGCATCCAGATAGGAGGTCTTACCATGGTAGGAGGTATATAAAGGGTGTCATGCGACCCGTGTCGATTATCAACCTAGCTGGGGGCCCTTAAATAGCCCAGTCTCGCACGGAGCTTAGTTATACCTGGCGTCCTCCGTAATAAGGTAGCCTTACTTGCGTAGCGGGGGCTACTCTCCCCTACACTCGTGGGTCCAAAATTATGAGCCAAAATTTCAAAAACACAAACAACAAAAACAAAAAGGAGTCCGGACCTCCTTCAAAAAGACCGGAGGGAGCGAGTTGTTCCCAGAGAAGAGCAGCGTTTGGCACGAGCTCGACAGCCAAAGCGAGAACAGGAGCGGAGCTTGGTCTTGGAGCAAAGGCAAATGCTAAGTGGGCAGAAGCCAAGACTGGCGCCATGAAAGCAGCAGCGCTGGAGGCAGCCCATACCAACCCCTGTAGCCAAGTGGGTCAGCCAGAGAGTGCCCTTCCTTTAGGATTGACGACCCAGCAAAAGCAAAGTATGCAGAGAGGCGACGCGCTGCATACCTGCTGAAGAAGGTGGAGCTGCAACCGCCAACCAATAAGAGCTCACAAAGGAGCTCCAATAATCCATTGATTGCGCGAGAGCTGTTCTACCTAACTTCAAGCTAGAAGCGCCAGTAGTGGCAGCTAACAGACAAAGGTCCGCTGAAGAGACTAAGCCGTCAGCTAAGAAACCGAAAACTAAGCGCGTGACGCCCGCAAGATCTTTTGCTGATGTGGCCCGAAACCGCATTGTCATTGGAGTACTGGATGAGGGTGACCCCGAAGGAAAAATCCCCAGAGCCCAATGGAAATGGATGCAAGCCGCACTGACGAATGTGGCTTTGGAAGTGCTACTAAGCAATCCAGGGCCACCCCCGTCATGTGCGGATGCTGGATGGTATCAAGGGCAGATAAAGATGATAGCGTGTGACGACGAGAGATCGGTCCAGCTATATAAGGCAGCAATAGCTAAGGTAGGGGAGGTCTACCCCGGAGCCAAATCAGTAGCGGTAGACAGGAAAGATATCCCATCCCGACCGAGGGCAAGGGTATGGATCCCGGCTACACCATCGCAGCCGGACCAAATAATGCAGCTCAGTAGGTAATGCGTCTTCTCCAAATTAATCTACACCACAGCAAACTAGCGTCTCTAGCCCTAGGTAACCGCATGGCAGAAGAACGGCCTGACTTTGTCCTCATTCAGGAGCCATGGGTTAATGGAGGGCGTATTTGCGGTCTGAGGACACCAGGATATAATCTATACGCGAATGGTTGTGTAGGTAAGCCTAGGACATGTATATTGGCTAGCAAAAAGCTTAATGTCTTTTTATTACATAGTTACAGTAGTAACGAAACTACAGTGGTAAGCTGGGAGACGGGTAGGAAGAAATACCGGCTGGCATCATGCTACATGCCGTACGACGAGGTAGCAGTAGCATCGCAGCTGTTCAAAGAGCTGGTACGAGACACCGAAGCATCCAAGTGTTCGATTATACTTGGGAGCGACTCCAATGCGCACCATACACTATGGGGAAGCACGGATATTAATGAAAGGGGTGAGTTGCTCTTTAATTATTTAATAGGAAGTAAGCTTTTGTTATGTAACAAAAGTAGTACGCCAAATTTTATAACCAGAAACCGACAGGAAGTATTAGATATAACACTGGTATCGGAAGAACTGGTGGATAAAATAACACATTGGAAGGTATTGGAGGAACACTCCTTCTCAGATCACCGCTACATTGAGTGTATAATTGAAGAAAATGTAGTTAGGGAAGAGAAATTTGGGAATCATAGGAAAACGAACTGGCAGATGCACATGCAGGAGCTAAAAAAGCGTATTCCTATGATTCCACCATTTCAACCGGAAAAGAAAGAGGACCTAGACATCCTCGTTAAACGATTCACATATTCTTGTCGTCAAGCACTAGAGGTAGCTTGTCCATTAACGTACAGTAGGGAACGAATTATACCTCTTTGATGGTCTCCAATACATGCAGAAAAATTGGAGGAAGCAATTCAATTTTGCCAAATTTTCCCAAGAAGATACAAAGTGGGATAACTATCATAACCACCTTCGGACATACAAAAAGGAGGTAAGAAAAGCAAAAAGAAATTCGTGGAAATCTTTTTGTAATGACATTAAAAATACGGCAGAAGTGTCTCGACTGAAAAAGATAATGACACAGTCGAAACATAGAATCGGATACCTTCAGAAGCCAGATCACAGCTGGACGGTATCCAGTAAAGAGACTTTGGGCCTACTAATGGATACTCACTTCCCAGACAGTTCCGAGAACCTCATAGGGGAGAATATAATGGAGAGTGAAGTAGGCTCAGAGTCCCCTCCGCTAGACATAGTGTCAGATGGCATGGTTTATTGGGCAATAGGCAGCTTCAAGCCTTATAAAATGCCGGGACTAGATGGTTTATTCCCGGTTCAGTTACAGTAGTCCCTGAGCTACACAATAAACTGGTTAACAACCATGTTTAGAGGGGCGCTGAAATTAAACTATATCCCCTCGATATGGAGGGAAGTTAAGGTGATATATAATATATACCAAAGGCTGGCAAAAGCTCATACATTAATCCAAAGGATTTTAGACCAATTAGCCTTTCATCATTTCTATTAAAAACGCTGGAGAGACTAATAGAAATACATATAAAGGACATACTAAACCCAAGAAACATGGCAGTTTCGCAGCATGCGTACTCGAAGGGTAGATCCACAGAAACGGCATTAAGCTCAGTGGTAGCAGAGATTGAAAAGTCTCTGGAAATAAAAGAATACACCCTCGTAGCCTTCCTAGACATAGAAGGTGCCTTCAACAACATCCAGCCGAAGGCCATATTGAGCGCCCTTAAAGATCTGGGCATATCTGAGCCTGTCCGGAAATTAATTGAACAGATGCTCTTGGGCAGGTCAATTATTTCAACGATGCACAGATCTGTCCGAAGGGGTACACCCCAAGGAGGCGTGTTATCCCCACTTCTCTGGATCCTGACAATGAATAAAAGGCTGGTGGATCTAGAAAAGAGGGGGGTACATGTTGTGGCCTACGCTGATGATGTGGCAGTCTCGGTTAGGGGCAAGTTCCCGAACACCCTCGCTAGCCTTACGCAGACAATATTAAACGATATTAATCGATGGGCCGTATCATGCGGACTGAATTTAAATGCTAGCAAGACAGAACTAGTATTGCTCACTAAGAAACACAGTACTCCAGAAATCACGCCGCCATTTTTAAATGGCACCAGGCTAACGGTAGGAGATAAAGCAAGCTACTTGGGACTAATTTTGGACAGGAAGCTTTCTTGGAAACAAAACTTGGAAGCGAGGGTAAAGAAAGCAGCTACAGCGCTTTACACATGTAAAAGAATGGTGGGGCCCAGGTGGGGACTGACACCTCGGGTGGCTCACTGGCTCTACACAGCAATTGTAAGGCCGATCATGACCTACGGTATAGTAGTATGGTGGCCAATCACAGAAAAGAAATATGCGATTAGAAGCCAAGCCAGACACTCAACATAATTTTACACTTGCTGCCAACAGATTTATATTGCAAGCAAATGGCAGCGAAGTCAGCTCTGAGACTGATGAATCCTCCCTACTAGTCGCCAGCAACAAGGGGCATTCTATGATACTTAGAAAGTTCCCGTTTCTTCCCATAACTACGGATTTTCGCGATCGTATGGAGCTGAACCTAAATCCGGCCCTCAATATTGCCTTCCCTTCCAGAGAGGAGTGTGAAAGGGACGTAGTGGACAAGGAAGCAGGGATAAGCTTCTATACGGATGGTTCCAAACTGGATAACCGAGTAGGCGGCGGTGTCTTCTCGGCTAAACTAGATACCAAAATCGCCTTTCGGTTACCAGACCACTGCAGTGTCTTCCAAGCAGAGGTCACTGCAATTAAAGAAAGCCTTCTTGTACTAACAAAAAGTGTAATCACAACAAGAAGTATATTTACAGACAGCCAGGCGGCTTTGAAATCTCTGATGTCTCATAGGATTTCGTCGAAGACAGTGAAAGATTGCCATGATCTTCTAGCGGATCTGTCATCCTATTTCACGGTAAATCTGCAATGGGACCCAGGACACAGTGACATCACTGGGAACTGCGTAGCAGATGAACTAGCAAGAACAGGCACCACCCTACAACTAGACCCTGGTAAGGAGGACATAAATATGCCTCTGGCTACTTGTAGATACCTAATCGACAAACATGTCATTAATATAGCCGAGTGTCAGTGGAATCAATCCCTTACCTCAACTAGCAGGCAAACGTGGCAAGAATGGAATATGAGCCGCACATGCCAACTGTTAAAATTCAAGAGGAATGATATAAGAACTCTCGTAGGAGTACTAACAGGCCACTGTCTAATAGGCAGACATGCAAGTAGACTTGGCACGCCATATAACGACTATTGTAGAAGCTGTCAGGAAGTAGAAGAGGAGGAGACCATTAAACATCTTCTATACGATTGTGCAGCACTATATAGGAAAAGAATCGCAACCATCGGTCGTGGGTTTCTTGACGATGGGCCTCCTAAAGGCCTAAGTGTGTCGAGTGACAGCCACTTTACCTACCTACCTACCTACCTAAGACATCCCTCCTAAACCTATTTATATTATTGTTATATATGGTTAACGCCAAATTGAAAGTCGTGGTTGTTGCGAAAAAATGCGCAAAACTTGCAATCTTTGAAAAATAGTTGCAGAAAAAATTAAACTAAAACCCACTGTTCTAGCTAAAAAGTCATTTGAAGGGCCGTTTATCAATATATGAATAAGCGCTTAACCAGAACTTTAGGCAACATGTTGAAAAATGGTTTTCTCAATATCTGATAAGCAATATCTCTCAGTTAAGTTCTGGCAAACTTGACCGAGTTATGGCTACGCACTTGCTCGGTGCAACGATGGTTGCCGTTGGACTTTGTTTTTCTGGACCAAATTGAGTAAAAATTGACAAAAACTACATTCAAGTTATTAATTTAATTTTAATTTTTTTTTATTTTTTTTTTGAAGTGAAACTTCTTTGCGCTCGTTGGGCTGTAATTCCAGTATCGAATGTAACGAAAAAGCGACAGGAAAAGGGGGGGATGGCGCTCGTGGTGGGGCAGTCGGGCTGAAGGAGAAATGGGAGAGAAACGAAAACGTGAGAGATTCGGATTAATGTTAATGTTAGGGATAATATTAATGGTAAGGTTAATGTTAAGGTTAATACTTATGTTAATGTTAATGTTACTGTTCATGTTAATGTTAATGATACTGTTGATGTTAATTATTCGCTCTAAATTGCCAAAGTTTACGGGCTCATACTGGACTTGACGGACACAGTAGCCCAACGAGCGAATATTTTATTACTGTCGGAAACATGGATAATTAATGAAGAAGCTTTGGATATGCCGAACTTCGATTGTGTCATCAATTTCAAACGTCCCAATGTAAGAGTTATTGGGGTAGCTGTTTACAATAACTCCATTGACAGAATAAATATTGTCACTCCACATATGGATATGAAATTACAACAAATTAACTGGTTAGCTGTGAATGCTGCTGCAGTTGGAGATATTTGTTCGGCCGAATATGTCATAGAAAGCGAACAGAGTGTGACAATGATTGTTCTCTACATCACTCCGAACCAGAGAATTAACGATATAATAAAATTCTAGTGCAGCAGAATTAGGAGAAAATTTGCATACTATGCCAATGATTTTAAGCGATGATTTTGATGTCAATTTTGCCTTGGAAGAAGCTCAACTACTTGTACAATTTTTAGTAAGTAAATTTTATTTAAAATGAATAATAATCCCAAAGAATCACGAGTTTTCATATCATATTTTTCATACCACAAAACAATTGTATCTTTTCTTGAACATGGAAGTATGGAAGTAAATAAATAGATGTTTTATAAATGGAGGCGAAAACGTCAACTCTCTTTTTTCATTAACTTAACACCCTTAAAAATTTCAGAATAATGAATAGTGGCTTCTGTTATCGGGGAAATATTTCTATCTCATAAAACCTGCTAGCTAAGGTGAGTATTTTCATTTCAAGTACCCATAGAGATCCACGAAGTTTCACTTCTATCACCTAGCTTTCCAAGCTGTTTGGTTTTTTTATTTTTAAGGTCTTGCTACAGTCTTGTAATCAAACCTGCTTTAAAAGGAAAGAACTACCAGCCTTCTAAAGAACAATGATTCACCAAACAGGCTCAACTAGTTAGAATCTTAAGCTTGCTTAGTTTTAATTAGAGTTCAGATTTTATTACTTATTGTTAGACGATATATAAGCAAAAATTAAAAATAAAGGTTCATATTTAATTAGTTTTTACTTCACTTGAAATATTTCACATTTTTAATTGAGTACATCTTTTAGGTACACGAGTATACGTACATTTTACACATATTGCATTTAGTATCACTTTATACACATATGTATGTATATAACAAAATACAATAAATATTAGATATTCTTCAGGCTTATGAGCTAAATTTTAATATATTTTCACTAAACATATTAAAAGTATAAAATAGTATGAATATAATATAAATATGCATAGCAAAAGATAAATAGGATCAAGTATTTTAAATTAAAAGGTCTTAAAAGCATTTTGAAAAAATCTGTATGAAAGAAATCTTCAAGTATTACCAGATGTCTTGATAATGAAGATTTTTTGCATGAAATTTTGATTTCGTTTCAATACATCTACTTTAAGATTTTGATAAATTTTATAAAAAAAAAATTATTTTGAATATAAATTTGGAGTTGGCAACACTGAACTTGTCCCAAACTTCACATCGTTTCAGTGCTACCAGACTCGATAACTTGGAGAACAGTCAAGAAACTATTTAGCAACGCTGCGACTGAATATAATTGTGGCGATAATGAAAAAACCCTGTTCATTTATTGGACTGAGAAAATTTCCTTATTTCACAAAGTGATGGACCAATGTCCCAAGAGGAAAAAAATTCCTATTTGCATCAGGAAGTGATAACCGATCACTCGTACACAAGAGTTTTTCTTAGGATTCTTAATTGGTTCTTACTCGTTGATTTAACCGATAGGTGGTTTGCAGGAGTATGGGTGCGTTCGAGATGGCAATCACGACAGCAGTGTTGCAAATTTGTCAAAGTATCACGTTCTGCACCATCAGCAAAGTATCCACAAATATGCAACACAGTAGCTGTACTGCTGCAGATACTACGTAGCTCAAACGCACCCTATATATATCCAAAATGTCATGCTCTTAATTTTAAGCGCTGAAAGCGGAAAAAAAGCCATACACGACACATTTATATTTTCGATCGGTATGAAATCTTTTCGCCAAACTCGACGTACAGATCCATTTTATGTTCGACCTTCAATGGGTAAACATGGCCTAGAATCAAGCGCATTATTAAATTGTAGCATTTTTGTGTAAGAGTATTTGACTTTATTTAAACTATCCTAACATTTATTTTTTACTTTAATTTGGTTACTTTTTTCCAAATTAGCAATTGTGTGCACACAAGCCCATACACGACATATTTGCGTGCACACCGATCGTAAAACGAAAACTTTCGCCAAGATGAATTTATATGCACATAAGCCCATACACGATTAAATCTCAATTGCGTAAATATCGATCACATGTAAGTATGTCGTATATGTACACTTAAAATAAATTGTAAATTTTTGTCCACAAAAACTTGATCTTAATAAATTTATTTCAATTACATTAAAAAACTGAACAATGTGAATTAGAAATTAAAATTTTTTATATTTTTTGATAAATATTTTAAACAATCTATTATGATGCACCGATATGGATGTATGTTCGACATCGTTCTTTGAATGCTTTTAATGACCTCTGATTTACAATATCTTCCACGTTTACTTCAGACTTTAAAAGACGAAGCTGAAATTGAAAATAAAAACAATATTTATATAAAATATGGTACATTAGACTGTATTTTGTACAATTCAAGTTTTAAAAAACAAGGTATAAATTATACTGAACGTATTCGATAAACCAGTCTTCACGCCCATATTAATGCCCGCATTGTAGTGTTGATAGTAGACGAGCTCTTTCAACTACTAACTAACAATGCGATTCGATTTCAAGATTACCCTGACGACATTGTTATATTAAACAAGTAAGGAAGGGCTAAGTTCGGATCTAACCGAACATTTTATACACTCGCAAAGTCAAGTGGTATACTCGTTTGAGATTTCTTTGTGGATTGGCTGATATTTTCGGTAGAAGGTCAACTATAGGCACTGGGGTCCACATTTTCAGTACTTAGGGGCTTGAACAGTTTTGGTTCGATTTAGACAATTTTTGGTCACAAGGTGGCATACATTAAACATATTATTCACGCAAAGTTTTACCCCGATATAATCATTGTTGCTTGATATACATAGTGGAAAGTGAAAGAATCAGATGGAATTGAAAATTGTGTTATGTAGGAAATAGGCGTGGTTGTAGTCCGATTTAGCCCATTTTCGCAATATAACATAGAAATATGAAAAGAACGTTATGCACCGAATTTGGTTGAAATCGGTTAAGCTGATCCCATGATATAGGTGGTTTTCACCTAAAAGTGGGCGGTGCCACTCCCACTATCTAATTTTGAACGCGGTTCTTATAAAGTCATCTCATACCATCCCAGAGATAAAATTTAATGTCTCTGGCGTGTTTAGTGCTTGATTTATCGCGCTTTTAGTAGTTTTTAACAGTACCGTTATATGGGGAGTGGGCGGAGTTGCCACCCGATTTCAACTATTTTCACACTGTAGGTAGAGGTTCTAAAAACATTTGCTTCCAGTGAATTTTGTTATTATAGCATTAGCGGTTTAGGAGATATGCACATTAAACCTATGAGGCGGGACCACGCCCACTTTTAAAAATATTTTTTTAACTGCAGATGCCCCTCCCTAATGTGATCCTGTGTACTAAATAACATTCTTGTATCTTATTGCGGAGCTTAGTTATGGCAATTTATTTGTTTTTGATTAATGGTGTTTTGTGGGCGTGGCAATTGTCTAATTATGCCCATCTGCACTACCAATCGTCTTACGGTACCAAGTTTCATATAGATATCGCAATTTTTACTTACAGCTTGCCCGTTCGGACGGATCCTGATCATTTATATATATATAACCCTATATCTAACTCGATTAGTTTTAGGTGATACAAACAACCGTTAGGTGTACAAAACTATTATACTCTGTAGCAACAGGTTGCGAGAGTATAAAAAGATAAGTTTGAAAACTTGAATTTTTGCATACAGGTCGCATACGAGTCCCCGCACGACACTAATAACCCTTTGCATGACCTACGAATCCTACTCATTAAAACTCTATCTCCCTATGGTCCGAACCCATCGAAACAGCTCGTTTCCTGAGCTTACCGTGAAGAGACTTCGATGACAGTTGACTTTTAACTTTCCTTCAAACAGGGTCCGGATATCCGTTGCAACTCTAGGAATTAGTAATGACTAATGAGACCAAATATCTGGTCCCCGCACTGGATTCCCCACTTCAATGGAACAAGCATGAGAAACTAATTTAGAGACGCAAAACCATTATTTGTGTGCTGGCAATCCTGGCGCTGCTAGCCAATAGTTGAGAATGATGTGGACATCGAAAGCACTGTCAGTAATTTACAGGCATGCGCCAGATGAAGCTGATATTTGGAGGTTACAACCGTACAAGGTTTAAAGAATAATTACAAACCTTTCGAGAGACAAACTGCGACTACTAGTAGCATTCTTTCACAGTAGTTTAGCCTCTTGCCTTACTACTAACCTTACGCTGCTCCGATTTGAATCTTTTATCAATTTCGACATCATCGCGGTTATTTTCACGTAACTCACGCAATTTCTTCAACGTTTCCGCAGACGAAAGTATGCAATCATTAATTTTTTTCTCCCGCGCCTTGTGGACTTGTTGCAGCTGGTTAAGTAAGTTTGTACATACTTTTTCGCAATTAACCTGACCTTTGAAAGACTCAGTTGGCAGTGATGTGTTTAACATATATATTATATTGTCGTCCACTGCTCGCATTTGTTTTATGCTTTCCTTTAAGTATATTTCATCAATGAAATAACCATAACATGTACTTGTAAATAAATTACCTGGAACACTAGAAAGTCCTCGCAGTATCCTCCCGCTGACATTTTTAATCAAAATGAATCGATTTGCATGACGGATCATCTCCGCTAACAACAATTGTTGGCTAGATAGCGTTATTGATGTCGTCAGAGTCAATAAAGGCTATTTATTGCAAACGATTGGCAACAGTCTGTCTGTATAGATAATTATCCTGTAAAACTATTAGCAAACATATAATTGATTAGTTATAGTACAATTGTGCATACGTTTAAGCCAGCAGCAAGTCGCCGCGGCTGGAATTTGGAATAGCAAATTTGGGGTTAAAATGAATATGTACGGTTGGTCTACGTTCTTCAGATTCAGAATAAAAATATATTTATAGTTGGCGCTGATTTATGGTTTTTGAAATATTTGCAGTTAAAGTTCAAAAATTCAACTATTTGAAGTGGGTGTTTCTTTGGTTAATGTATATTTTAGGTCCCCAACGAAGGAGGCCTCGTAAATAATTTTTTTTGTATTTCAATCACTTTATTTTGCGCGAAAATTACAAATCCGCAAAGCAAACTTTTTCAATAATTCTATTTACATTTAATTTTTTTTAATCAAATTTTACAATTAATTCAAAAAATTACAGACTTTGCACATGTTCTTTCGCGTGGTAAGTTCTTTCTGCACCTGCGGCCGTTGTTGGCGCTTAAAAAAAGTAACCCTGGTCGGTCCAAAACTGTTAAATTTCTTCAGCATTTTTTTTCACAAGAATATGTTTAACTCGTTGAACGTGTAATTGCAGCTAAATGATCTGAATTCTACAACAACTAAATTATTTGAAAAATATCTGCAAAGTGGGTTTTTTATATTTTTATAAAAAAGTATACATAAATTATTGGAAAAATTTATTTTCCGCTCACGAGTTGTAATCTTCGCGACAAAATAAGACGATTTAAAAAAAATTATATTTTTCGCTGCCGTCTTTATTGGGGGACCCAAACCATTTTCCCTTTCTTTGATTTATAATGAATTTTACACTTACACTAACAAAAGGGTTGCATGCAAAAAAAATAAAAGTTTTACCATATTTTGCAAACGAATACAAATAAATAACAAATAAGGATTATACCTTACAAGACGGAGTTAACTAATTCAATTCTACATTTGTACAGTTTTACCTATTACACCACTACATATTCAAAGCTAACTTTTTGTTTTTAAATTCAACATTCATGATACGTACGTTCTGAAAGCTTTAGAAAGAGATGCACTTAAAGCTGTTTAACTTTTCATCAACAATGGCCGGCATTATTTGTAAAAAAATTTTGAGTTTTGCGCTATGTCCGGTTTGCTTTTTAAATATAATTTTATTTAATTTTTTTTTTTAACGTCAAAAGGCGTTTATAAAGGAGGTAAGTATTTGAATTTTATGTTGTTTGTAAAGATATATATTTAATTAGTATATAATTGCAGTGGACGGAGAAAAATTCTCAATGCGCTGTCGGAGCTGGTAATCTAGTGGTAGATTTTCCACATCAATAAGCGTTTTTAGATGATACCTAACTCTTTATATTTTATTGGTGTGTCGTAAAATAACGCAACATTGAGTGTGTGGCGTCGATAAGGCTAGATGTGCTGTGTCGTTTGAAGTACCCCACCTTGCGAAACGTAACGGCCAACACTGCTATTTATATGCATCTTTCAATCCAACAAGCATTTTGCCTAGTTGATGCATGTCGAATTGAAATATTTCATGTGTAGGGGTTGTGCGTAAATTGGTTGAGAAGGAAATGAATGCTGTGCAGCAGCTTTACAGGCTTGTACCAGAGAACGTAGATTATAGAGAAGGTTCAATTGCGGACCAGCGTGTGAATTGTCAAAACCTAACAAGATTTTAATAGTGGACTTCACCACATCTGACTCGGAAGGAGAAATTTTAACAGTGGAGAGTGAACAGAGCTGAGCATTGAATAAAAATTATGCTCAGAGACTTGCGTTGATTTTACAGCCACATGTTACTCTTTTGGCTTATATTTTTATTTATATGCAATCATATTTATTGAAATGAATATCATTTTGCGAATTTTTATGAATGAATGCAAAACTGATAAGATCTATTAAATTATGGAATTTCGAAATAATATTTATAGTCAATTTGGGCATTTAATAATATTATATAGTTTTTACATAATATGCATTGCTATATAATTGTATATCTTTTATCATATTAATATTATATAGTCATATGTACATTTATCTGAACATGCGCATTTATGTACGCATTCAGAAATTCAAATCATAATTTTATCACTTATCAATACACTATATGCAGAGAATGTTAATAAATATATCAATATTCATATATTAACATTCTCTGCTATATGTGCGCACATTGATTTATATGTGAACATATATATAAATATGTATATGTATATATACAAACATTGTTCTGCAAAAACAACAATCGTCACAAGTCAATATGTCAGCCAAATAGCCGAAGCTAAAATATATAGTAAATCACACAACAACAACATTTTCATTCATGAACGAAGGCGTACTTTCGACAAGCAACCTCGCTTCATTCATAAAAACAGATACCCTTACATCCCCCCGAGCATGATTTTGCCTACAAGCGTCTTTTCACGACGATGGCAAAAGCTAAAAATCATAAATTGAACAAATTTCTGATATTCCCTCTAGAAGGGAAAAGTGACAACCCCGCAAATATGAGTATTAAAATATTTTAGAATAAAAGTGACAACATAGTATATTTGTCGATTTACAATTCAAGAAACTTTTTAAAGAAAATATTCAATATTCCTCTGATTTATGTATACAGTAAGCCCCGGTTAAGTATCAATCCTCCAATCCCTCTTATCTGCCTGTGTCTTGCTGCATCTCAGTTTTTTTTTTTAATTTTTTAAGGAAAACGGTTATATTTTTTTATTAAATACATAGAAATTATTTTTTTGGTACCACTCCTTAAGTACCACAATCGCTTATGTACCACAAAGCACAAAAAATCTGCATCTTTGGTTTTGGCACTTAACCGGGATTGACTGTATTTGTCAAAGAATGTGCGTATGTAAATATTCGAATTTTTTGTACACACATCTGCCCGTATATATGCACATGACTTGTTGACTTTGTTTCCATTTACTCATGCCACGTTGTATATGAATAAGGGTTGATTTTGCACTTGCCATATGCGATGTATGTTTGTAAAAGTGTGTATGGTTCTGATTTCCCATGAAACAATGAGTGTACTAATTTACATACATACGTTGCATATAGACAAATTAACAATTATAATGGGTACTTTCACATTTGTTTACATGCACACATAATTATACATATACTTACATATATATATGTATAAGAAGACCGCTTGGTCTTTTCTTATGGGGTTAAGTCAAGCAAGAGGAGTACAAAATCAAACCCAGAAATCTGACTGAACTGAAGCAGTTCATTAAGTAGATATTTGAAGCAATCCCGACTTGAACCTTCCAGCCCGCATTAATTTTCTAATTAGGTGTCCAATATGCATGGCTGAGCATGGAGGAATAATTAATTGTATAAAATAAAATTAAAATTTTTTATACAATACTAAAAAGATTGATAAAAAGAAACTTATTACGGTTAATTTTTGTAGCACGATTCGTGAGCCGCCCTGTATATGCAGAATATCTTAAAATTATATGGAAAGTCGTTTGCGCATTGTAAATATACGAATCTGTAAGCGTACATTTCTTAACATTGAATTTAGCATTATTTTTCTCATTTAACATTCAAAATGCTCAATTCTGCTATTTTGCGCTCCGCAGAGGTAAAACTCTGGTTAAATCAGCTAATATTTTTGTTTGTGGTGAGATCCTCTTAAGTTGGCGAGTAACCCTCCGTCAAGAGGAACATTTTGACAATCGGCACACCATGAACCTTCTCTATGATATACGTTCTCTGCTTGTACGTGAACTATTGTCATTTGGCCTAATTTTATGAGGAATGACAGCTTAATGAATACAAGTAAGTCAATTATATAACTCTTCTAGATGTTATATACAAGTATAATTGAGGCCATATATCGGCATTATAATAATATATAATTATTAATAATTTAATCATAACTGATAATAATAATATATACCATATTATAATTTTAATATAAAAACAACTAATAGTGTAATTTCAACACAATTCTGTTGCAGGTTTCAAGACGATACAAGTATTTTGATTGGTTAAATTAGAAAAATTTTGTTTCATTCTCATACCACCGTTGACAAATAACGAAGAACAATTTACGGAGCGTCGATCGTCAAAAACAACACCGCTATCGGAAAGTATTGGGCGCGTCGAAATAATTTTTATTGCTATTGGACCACTATTTGGTGCTCAGCATAAATAGGACTGGATACCATTCTTGGACTTATATCTGTTTATCTATCTATAGGAAATACCTAACGAAAGTTAGTCTATGTTTAGTTACATATGCATATGTATTTTTTATTCAAGAGGCGGCCTTAACAGTTTTGCTGACATTTTCTCAACACAAAAGGGACCAATGGAAAAAACGCAAAGAATGCGAGCGTTCAAACTGTGAGCATAAAATGAGCCGAAATGACATAAGTTAATCGTCACACCGATATTATTTTCTATGCTGTAATGGTTTATATGTAGCATTTTAAAGAAGAACGTGATACACATATGAAACAGGAGCTTAAATCATTTGTGGTAGAGCTTTTGGCAAAAACACCCGCGCACAACTAATGTGGTGCACTATCGGGATGAAAGGACCAAACCATATTTTATATGCATATAGAAGTGTAATTATATAATATGTTTTTTACTACGTTTAAGTTAATACGTTTTTTAATTAAATAAATCGAAATAATAGAAAAAATATAGTATATTATTTAAAAGAATTGGAATTTGTTGTAGTAACAAAAAGACAACCGATACGCTCACATATGCATTAGTTAGAAGTAATAATGGGTAACAAATAAGCTAACACATCGAGGCAAATCATTTACATTTCGCACTCATATGATAGGTCGTATCCGTTGATTCGGTCTACCACTTTGCGTCGGTGACTGTCTGAAGCATAACACATAGGTAACCTATTCGCTAACAAATGTATATGCAGAGAATGTAAAATATAGAGAAGGTCCAACTATAGAGAAGGTCCAACAGAGCTGAGCATTCAATGAAAATTATGCTCAGAAGTTCGCATTTCTCAATTTTATCACTTATTAATACACTATATGTGCGCGCATTGATTTATATGTCCACATATATATGTATGTACATATAACATTGCCGAACAAATAATGCAAACACAAACCAACCTACATTTATATGAATATCTGTACACATGTAAATATGTCACCCGCAAAAACTAGAAAAATTGTTCTACAAAAACAACAATAGTCACAACACAATATGTCAGCCAAATAGTAAATCACACAACAACAAAATTTTCATTCATGACCGCAGGCGTACTTTCGACAAGCAACCTCGCTTCATTCATAAAAACAGACAGCCTCTCATCTCCCCGAGCATGCGTTTGCCTACAAGCTTCTTTTCGCGACGATGGCAAAAGCTAATAATCATAAATTGAACAAATTTATGATATTCCCTCTAGCAGGGAAAAGTTGCAACCCCGCAACCCTGCAAACCCACAAAATACAGAAAAAGTTGACAAAACCGGCAACAAAGCTTTTGTGGATTTTTAATATTTTAAAACTTTAAAATATTTTTTAATTTTAAAAAAATTTTCCATGACAAAAATCTCCGTCAACATGTATGCATGCTCATATATAAACATACATATTTACGATAGTTTGTAGGCAAAGCTGTTAGGGCGGCAAGGAAAGCGGTGACACCTGGCGGCCGTTCGTTAATTTTTTTTCGGCACAATTTGGATTTTCTAACAATTATAATGGGTACTTTCATATTTGTTTACAAACATACATAATTATACATATATTGTGTATAAGAATATTTGGGACCGCTTGGTCTTTTATTATGGGGTTATGTCAAGCAAGAGGTGTACAAAATCAAACCCAGAGATCTGACTGAACTCGAGCAGTCCATTCAATAGATAATTG